CAGGAGGCTTGATTCTGTCAGGGCACATGCCCGGGATTGTGGGCTCGATCCTCACTAGGGGGCGTGCAGGAGGCAGCCAATCGGTGATTCTCATCATTGATGTTTCTATCTCTCTCTCCCTCTCCCTTTCTCTCTGAAATCAATAAAATATATATATTTTTTTGTATTTTTATTTTTTTAAGAATCATCATCAATAGGCTTAAACTGAATTCATTTGTTGACTGTCCTGTGGGACTTTTGTAATCCTATATATATACATAACTATGCATACTTACATAATTTTTTTAATGTAAAATGTATATACTTTTTATGGAATCACACTACACATAGGTCACTTGAAAACCTCAAAATACTAAAAATGATCTTGTTGAAAAATAACTTTTCCACCGCTTCACATATCAACATCTCTAGTATTTGTGCTGGTTTCATAAGACCAAGAGGTACTCCGCGGGGCCTCTCTGACTGTTTCACATATAAGTTTTCTCCAATTTTTCTAGGATTAAAAATAATGCTGCAGCGAACATCTTTGTACACAAATATTTGTGTGAATTTCTGGTTGTTTGATAGGCTAGGCTCCGACCATTGGGCCTCTTCTATGTTTTAAAACTTCTGGTCTCTCAAACAAGCCAGGAAGAAGAGATTCCCACATTTTAAAAAATTAAGCAAAGCCATATGGAACTCCCAGCCAAAGCTGTGATCGGCGGGAGAGAACCCACTGCTCCCACACGGAATTGACATAAACCGTAGCCAGAAGGAAAGACGCTTCACACACTTGTGGGTCTCTGCTGCCTTACTGCGGGCAAACACATCATTTCTGTCCCGGAGTCTGAGAGCCCAACCGTGATGACAGCAGCTAATAGTTAAACTGCACTGATTACGCGTCAGACTCTCATGTATGCATCATGTACATGTCACATACACATATATCTATGCACGTATGTGCACATTTAGTCTTCATGAAAACTCGATCAGGTAGGTGCCATTATTACCCCCAGTTCACGGGGGGGGGTGGATTGAGGCGCAGAAGGGTCAGTTGCTAAGCGTCTCATGCCCATGAGGGCAGGGCTGGGATTGGAACCCGGAACCCGGACCCCATGGATCGTGGAGCGTGGACCTGGCCACTGTGCTAGACTTTGTGGGCTTCTAGCGGGTTGATGAGTCCAGCCAAACCCTGAGTTTATAGGAGAGAGTTCATGGGCCCAGAGAGGGTTAGCAAACAACTGTAGGGCACACAGCAGGCTTAGGTGCTCCTCACACCTGCATTACCTCCTAAGGCAGTGATGGCGAACCTTTTGAGCTCGGCGTGTCAGCATTTTGAAAAACCCTAACTTACCTCTGGTGCCGTGTCACATATAGAAATTTTTTGATATTTGCAACCATAGTAAAACAAAGATTTATATTTTTGGTATTTATTTTATATGCCATTTAACAAAGAAAAATCAACCAAAAAAATGAGTTCGCATGTCACCTCTGACACACGTGTCATAGGCTCGCCATCACTGTTCTAAGGTGTGTTTAAAGGGACCCAAACCTTTCTGAAGCAGCCGCGGTGACTCAGAGTTTATGCCCGCTCCTCTCTGGGAGGCGCTCTGGGCTCCGGGCCAGCACTCACCCGTGTTTTGAACACCTGCAGGGTGTGATGGCAGCTGCGTTTGGGCCCAGGTGGGCATGGCCTTTGCCAGGTAGCAGCCAGGCCTGGTGTGCAGGCCTCCTCGCCATCCCGGGCATCCCAGCCTCTGCCCCCGGGCCGTTTGGCTTCTGGGGCTGGTCAGGGCACCAGCCAGGGCATCTGAGAGTGTGGTGCACGCAGTAGAAAGTACTGTAGGACTTGCCTCAGCACTTTGTGGCTGTAAGAGATAGTGATTCTGATATTTTATATTTTACGATTCTAACCTAAGTGAGACTTCTCAGCTTGCCTTTGATGATTCTGGATTCTTTGAGTCTAGAAAGCTTTGTCCTTTACTCCCAAAAGCTGGGGCCACCTAAGGCCATTGCTCCTGGCAGCCAGGGCGTGGGCAGCCTGGGGGCCATCAGTGTCCGTCAGGCCTCTTGGAGGGAAGGGGCGACAACCTCTGTCCTTTGCCCTGTTTTCCTGGAGCCCCTGGTCTTGTTTTTTGTTGTGTGTCGTGCCCGGGGACCCCCCTTATCTCCTCCTCCAGGCGGGCTGTTGCTCACGTGAGCGGCCCCAAGGTCAAGCTCAGCTGACGGCTCCAACAGCAGCGTGCGTGTCCGAGGTTAGGCAATCAGCTTGCGCCCACGTTGGGTGTTATTGCTTTTTGAAAAAAGAAACACAAACACCCTCTCCATGTGCCCTGGGCGTCAGGGCCTCGAAGTAGGAGGGGGTGCTCCAGGGCCTCTCCTGGGGGTCCCCCATCTCCGGGGACTCCTGACCTTATTGGTTGGAGCTGCCCGTCCAACTGCTGCCCACGGCTGGAAAAGACAAACTCTGAGTGTTCGGGATGATGGGTGGGCTCGTCTAGTGAGAAAACAGTCCCAGAGTAGGGCCAGCAGGGACACGGGTAGAACCAGCACCGGGACTCAGTCTCCCTGGCACCGCCCTGGTGTGAGTGCCAAGTCTGGGACCAGGGGAGGGTCTGGCCCCATTCGGCTGATGTGGGATGTGTGGCTGAGTGGAAAAGACTGGCTCGGGGCTCAGGGGTCTGCGGTAGGACCAGCGTGGGGGAGGCGGCATGTGGCGGGGGCTCCTAGGCAGGCCTGTAAGGGGTCTCCAGGCTGGAGGTGCTGCGGTGGGGCTCTAAGGACGGGGCCAGAGCCAGGGCAGCCTCACCGGCTGGCACGCCTGCCTCTTGGGCGCAGGCCGGAGAATGGCCTTGAATACCTTTCCTCCAACTTACCCTGAACATTTAAAATCTACCGACGAGCTGCGAGGATATAGGACAAGAAGCACCCACGCGTCCTCGCCCAGGCTCACCGATGGCTGTCATTCGGCCACCTCTGCTCTTTCTCTGGTGCTGCTGTCATCTGTGTCTACACATACACAGACCTGTCAGCTCTGTCTCTGTCTAAACACGTACATTTTGCCGAATGCTGTGCTGCAGACATCCGGACACTCTGCATCCTCCAGCATCACCTCTTAAAAGGACATCCACCCACATGGCCAATGAGCACCTCAGGAAATGGAACACTGGCACAATATTGCCTAATTTACAATCCACATTCCAATGCCCTCAATTGTTTCAATACTGTCTTTTTAAAAGGTCCAGCCCTAGATGGTTTGGCTCAGTGGATAGAGTGTTGACCTGTGGACTGAAGGGTCCCAGGTTTGATTCCAGTCAAGGGCACTTGCCTGGGTTGTTCCCCAGTAGGGGGTGTGCAGAAGGCAGCCAATCAATGATTCTCTCATCATTGATGTTTCTCTCTCTTGCCGGAAGCCAGTCCATCCTTGCTGCTTGACACAGTCACTGCAGGGAAGAAACATCTGCACAGCATATGTTTCAAGGGACCCGCAACCCAGGCCTGTGCCCTGAATGGGAATCGAACTCTGATCTCCTGGTTCATAGGTCAACCCTCACCCCCTGAGGCACGCCAGCCGGACATAGTACTTTTTCTTTCTTTTTAAAAAAAATTTTTTTTTATTGATTTCAGAGAGGAAGGGAGAGGGAGAGAGAGTTAGAAACATTGATGAGAGAGAAACATCGAGCAGCTGCCTCCTGCATACCCCCCACTGGGGATGTGCCTGCAACCAAGGTACATGCCCTTGACTGGAATCGAACCCAGGACCCTTGAGTCCGAAGGCTAACGCTCTATCCACTGAGCCAAACCGGTTAGGTCTCCTTTCCTCTCTTAAAAATATTTTTTTAAAAAAAGATATTTACCATTCATCATATTTATTCTGAAGGTGTTTTTGTATTTTATTTTTTGCTTTTCATCATATGTATGTTTTTGACATTATAAAGGTTCTTTCTGTATTACAAAAGGAAGAACCCTGGCTGGGTGGCTCAGTTTGTGGGAGTGTCGTCCCGTATACCGAAAGGTTGCAGGTTCAATCCCCTGTCCAGGGGCAGATGGGAGGCAAACAATGGATGTTTTTCTCTCTTTTTCCCTTCCTCTCTCTCTAAAAAAAATGTTAAAAATTAAAACTGATGTATAAATTAAAACTAGTGTATAACTAAATTATACTAGTATATAAAATTAAAACACTTTTAGGCAGTGATCTTCAACCTTTTCCCTCTCATGGCACACATAAACTAATAACTAAAATTCTGAGACACACTAAAAAATGTATTATACTTTTTGCTGATCTGACAAAATAACAGGTATAATTTTCATTCATTCATACTGGACGGCTATTGTTGTGTTGGCTGTTGTCATGTTTTTATTTGACAATCCAAGGGGAAAGAGGTCAGTGCTCCTGACTAGTTAGCTATTGTGTGTTTTAAAAATTCTTGCAGCTCACGGTTGGAAATTGCTGCTTTTAGGGTATAAAATAAAAAATAAAGGCCTGCCGTGACCCAATTCCACGTCTCACAGAAAACGGTGAGTAATGACGTGGTGTGGACCCACGCACGGCCATTTGCCCAGCTTGAAGAAGGGCAGCTCCCAGTGCCCTGTGCTTGTTTATTTAACCAGCCTCTCATGCGCGCTCATGAACTCACTGGTACGAAGCCCAGCATCTCCCTCTTGAGGTCTCTTCCAGAATAGTCTGAGAATCCCAGGGGCTCCCTCCAGCAAAGGCCAGTCCCACTTGCACAAGGGCCAGGCCTCCTGCCCGAGGCCTCAGGGTTACAGCCCTCCCCTTCACACCACGAGCTGGGTCCTTGCTCCCTGAGGTGGGAATGATTCCAGAATGGGTGGGTCCAGCAAAACTTCCAGCCCCAGCCACACATGGCGCCTGCCCCCGCCCCTCCCCACCCCCCCCCCCTCCCCGCTTTTTTTTTTGCGCCTGCCCCCCCCCCTCCCCCCCCAGTGCCCAGCCTCTGGCTCACCGCCCACACCTAGCACGGTGTCGGGCACACAGTAACTACTCAGGAAACGTGAACTGTTATCATATACCCTGTAGGGAGCTCTTGGATTTCTCTATTTTATAAAATGAGATCCTCCACACATATTTTTCGTAGGTCGCTTTTCTCAGCATCCCTTATACATTTGGAGATTAAACTATCGCTAAGGGTCCAAACCTTCCGTCTTTGTCTCCGTGATGTGTTCTGTTGCTTTAAATCTTAGGAATGAGCTAAAGTTTAGTTGAGTTAAACTAGTTAAAGTTTAACTGTGAAGCGTGTTCATTCCTTTGTCCCGGGAGTGTTTGTCCATCGTTTGACTCTCAGCCCATGAAGGGTTTCGGGGGATCAGCTTCCTAGCAGGAGGCGGGGAAGGACCAGGAGAGCCTGCGGTGAGGTCAGGGGAGGAGAAGGCCCACCGACAAGGGCCCCGGAGCCAGACACCCTGGCCCTCACCACCTTGGGGTCCCACCCCTGCCTTGCTTCTGCTCCAGGAACTTGGGGAGTCTTTCTGGTTCCTCACGAAACCCCCAACAATGAAGGCTTCAGCAAGTCCTGTGGACCTGTTCCCCTAAATACTCCTCAACATGCCCCCTTCTTCCCACCTCCACTGCCCTCTCCATAGGTCAGTATCGGCATAGCTGCGATGCCCCCAGCCCCCACTCCGGGGTCTTGCCACCCACCTTCTGCCCTTCCCTGATCCCTCATGCACAGGGCAGCCCGTGAAAAGCACAGGCAGGACTGGGAAAGCGGAAGCCACACCTTCTGCAGCTCCTCCGTTTGCAGCAGGACCTGCACAGCAGAAAACTCACAGCAGCACTGGAGAGCAAGAAACGGGAAACACCCAGGTATCCAACCAACACGGCAGTGTGAGCTTCCCCCGGCTGCTGTAACACATCGTCCCGAACATGGTGGCTTCCAACACGGGTTCATCACCTTATGGTGCCGGAGGCCCGGAGCCCAAAATGGGTCTCAGGGGCCAGAATCAAGGTGCTGGAAGGGGTGTGCTTCTTCAGAGGCTCTGGGGGAAGATCTGTTCTTTGCCTTTTCCAATTTCCAGAGGCAGCCTGCATTCCTTCTCTCTTAAAAGCCAGAGATGGTGGGTCAAGTCTCTCATGCTGCCATCTCTCTGGGTCTGAGTCTTCCCCGCACTTTCCCGATTTAAGGACTTTTGTGATTACGGTGAGCCACCTGGATAATCCGGGAGCCTCCTAGCTCCAGCTCAGCAACCTGGATCCCATCTGCTATCATAATTCCTCTTGTCATGTAACATAACAGATTCACAGGCTCCAGGAATTAGGGCATGGACATCTAGGGGAGCCATCCTATCACAGTAGAATGGAACAAACTGTGGCCTCTTCCTACAGTGGGACCACATTCTGGGATAGATTCACTGTGAAGTTGCTCTCAGGTCTGAGTCTTAGGGTCCTTTCCTTGCCCAAACCCCTTGCAAGGCCCTGAGAGGAACCCCCAAGTCCCTGGTAAGGCTCTATGAGGGACCCTAGTCATGAGGATCATACAGTTAATGAACAAAAATAATATATTTCTGGATTTCCTGATGCTTGTGATATTTACCAGTTTTGTTTTTTTAAAAATCTATGCCGAAACCAGTTTGGCTCAGTGGATAGAGCGTTACCCTGCGGACTGAAAGGTCCCGGGTTCGATTCCGGTCAAGGGCATGTACCTGAGTTGCGGGGCCATCCCCAGTAGGAGATGTGCAGGAGGCAGCTGGTCGATGTTTCTCTCTCATCGATGTTTCTAACTCTCTATCTCTCTCCCTTCCTCTCTGTAAAAAAATCAATAAAATATATATTTTTTAAAAATCTACAACGTGTGAGTTCTCTTCTCCTTCTAAGCATAAATTTAGTCTTTACCTACTATTCTATTAAGTTTTATATATTTTTAAAGGAACCCCCAAAATTGTAGAAACTTTAGGCCCTACAAAACCAGTGTGTGCTCTGACCGTAGCAGTGAAAACAAATGAGCCGCAGCTGCTCGCACCAATGTGATGACTCTCAAAAACATGACAGGGAGTCAAAGAAGCAGGTCACAGAAAAAAACGCCCCCAGGACGATGCCATTTGTATGTGGCCCAACACCAGGCAACATGAAGTTGTATAGTGTATGGGAAGAAGTCCATATATGGGAAAACTGTAAAGAACAACAAGAGAGCTGTCTACAGCATCTGAGGATAAAGGTCACAGGGATTTGATCAGGGAGAGACACAAAGCAGGCGTCTCAGGGACTGCTGATGTTTATTATGCTAACTTGGGTGACACAGTTGTTTCCATGTTAGTTTTAGAATCACAAATACGTTGCATAATCTCTAGCATGAATGATACTGGTTATAATTGGCATTTTTATCTTAAAATAACTGGATTAATTTTTTAAAAGAAACTTAAAATTTTGAGCTTAAAATTCCGCAGTGGCTTCTCCGAGCACATAGAACAAAATTCACACCCCTGGCTGCGGCTCACTCAGTGGGTGCCCTTCTCTGCTGGCATCTCTCACACACTCCCCTTCACTGTCCCCATCGAGCCACACAGCCTGCCTGTCACCCCCCCTCGCAGCCCCCCTCTCCCGTCGCTGCTTTCCTTCTTGAAATGGAGACAATCACAATTTGCCATGACATCCGGGAGGCCCAGGGCCTGGTCTGTCCCGTTGCCCACCTGCGCCTCCTCCGCTTCTGGAGGGCTTGGACTTCCATGTTTGAATTGGGGCTCACATTCCGTGAGGGGGACGAGGCAGATGGGAGAAAGAGGTGGACGGGAGAACAACGGCTTCAGAGGGAAATGGGGCAAGACCTAGAGATGGAGGGATGGGGGTGGGAGAGGAGAGGCCCCTGGCTACTCAGGAAGGATGGCCGCTTTGCCCTGGAGGGCTGGGTCCCCTCCTCTCAACAAGGTTCTGTGGTTACTCTTTGTCTGGGAGTTGCCCTCACTCCTACCTGGGCAGGTGTAACTCAGACTCTTTAAGTGAAAAAGTGATGGACAGCCCTGGCCACGTTTTCTCAGTGGCTAGAGCACTGGCCCTCAGACCTAAGGGTCCCAGCTTTGATCCCTGGCCAAGGTCGTGTACTTCAGTTGCAGGTTTGATCCCTGACTCCAGTCAGGGCACGTGCGGGAGGCAACCAGTCAATGTGTCTCTCTCACATGGGTGTTTCTCTCTCCCCTCCTCCTCCTTCCCTTCCTCTCTCCCTCTCTCCCTCTCTCCCTCTCTCTCTCTTTCTCTCTCTCTCGGCCAATGGAAGAAATATCCTCGGGTGAGGACTGAAAAAAAAAGTGATGAACATTTAGGGACATGAGGAATCTAACAGAGTCCAGCCAAAGGGTTTCTACAACCTCCCCTCCTTCCTACCAGTCGCACGGCTGCAGGGTGACTGAAAAGTGCCCACCCTCCTCCAGCTCTCTGCTCAACCAGGGGTTTCTCAGAACAGGAACAGCCCTGGCTGCGAGCTGAGCCCCACTCGGTGCCACAGCGGGTGTGGGAGGATGCTGCTCACACCCCCACCCCTGCCCGCTTCTGCATGTGCATAGCTGCATGTGGATAGCTGCATGTGGATAGCTGCATGTGGATAGCTGCATGTGGGCAGTGGAATAATGGCTCCCAGGGATGTTTGTGTGCTGGTCCCTGGAACCTGTGAATATGTTATGTCACACGAGAAGGGAGAATGAAGGTTGTTAATTGATTGACCTGGAGGTGGGAGACTATCCTGAATTACCCAAGTAGCCCCTGGAATCTCAAAGGTCCCTAAATGAGCGAAGAAGGTGGGAGAGTCAGACCAGAGAGATGGCAGCATGAAAAGCACTCAGCTGTGGCTAGCTTTGGCGATAGTTGTGGAAAGGGTCCGCGAGCCAGGGAATGCGGGCTGCGCTGGACGTTGGAAAAGGCAACATATGGATCCTCCCACTGAGCTTCCGGAAGAAACGCACACCTGCCGACTCCGATTTTAGCGCAAGGAGACCCATTTTGGAGTCCGGACCTCTGGAACCCTAAGATTACACACACGTGTTGTTTTAGGCCACCAAGTTTGGGGTAACTGTTACAGCAGCAGCAGGGGACTATGCACCGGGTAATTTATTCCTTTCCTCTCCTCAGGGTCAAAGGCAGAGCCCCAAGGACGGCCAGCCATAACTCTCTGACCTCACCTGGGCGCTGGGAGGCCAAATTTTCTCTATTCTTAACAGAAGCCCGAATACAGTCATGCGCCGTATAACACGGCAGTCATCACAGGACCACACGTCTGACAGCCATCCCACCCTAGGAATGTGTGCAGTGTTACACAAATAGTACCATCGTGTTCCATGGCCCACAGTGTTCAGTCCAGTAACATGCTGCACAGGCTTATAACCTAGGAGCTGCAGGGGAACGGAATCTGTCACCCCAACTCATGTCTCCTTGGCATAAGGATTATTTTAGGTTGGTTCGTTTTAGGAGGTCCTATCCCGAAGTCTGACACACGCCAAGTGAATTCCTTAAGGTTCCAAAGCCCAGAATACGTGCCCTCTTACAGGATCTCAGGAGACACAGTGGTGCAGAGGGAAAGTCACCGGCCTGGGAGTCCGCCAGAAGTCACCCTCCTCCTCACTCTCCCCCACGCTGCCCCACCTGGGACACGTCCTGCAGCCATTCCGCACCTCCTGCCTGAAAAATGAATGAAAATGAGATGGATCAAGGCTCCATGCACGTGGCGCACGCACAGGCGCACATCAGTGAAAACATGACTCCCGGAATCCTAATGCCATCTCCCCTCTTCATGCAGGATTTCATTTCACCCTCACACCAGCCCCACGGCAAGCCGGAGCCCCCTTTAACGGGATGGAAAAAGCAGCAAGGAGGCGGGGGCGTCTCTCCGCGCGACCGCGACCGGACGGCCTCCTGACCTTCTCCCCGCGCCCTG